GGAAGAGGACGGAGCTTGTGAACCAATATCCAGGTCACCGGGAGGCTGTTTGGTGTCATGTGAGACGTTCTTTGGGTTAAGATTGTTATTCTGTAGAGAATCGGCAGCCGTAACGTCTAAGGGGAAGCGGGAAGGGAAAACACCCTTTCGCGACACACGAGCACAATCTGACCAGATAAAAATGAATTGTAGAAAATGAAAGAGGTAATAAAAATCAAATCAATTTGAATGAATTATACTTCAAATGAGGTAAGAATAGAAAAAAATACAAAAGAAACAAGAGCTCTGTTCACCCTAGGTTGCATAGGATGATGAATGAGGGATAGTTGAATTTTCCACCAATTAAATGAGTCAAGACCAAGTCAAAATAGACGCTTTATCAGATTCAGATTTATATGAGTGGTAGAGTGTATACGAGAACGGCGTATTGAAAGACAGAGAAGAGAATATGGAGCTCTTACAAATTAATGATAGTTTGGACATACTTATACCAAATAGCAAATGTAATAGGGTCTATACTCAATCTAGGTCACTTAAGGTAAATAATGGTTAATGTTCTTATTAATGACTATTGATATTAATATTAAAATACTATATAGTGTATAAAAGTTAAATTCAATCATCCTATGTGCGAAAAATTGAGGAAAAGGGACTGAAAAGTTTAATAATACTGGTCATCAATGCACTAATCAGAATCTACCATGATTCAATTCCAGGCTAAAATCCATAATAGTTGGTTGACCTTGTTTTCGCAACTTGGTCATATTGGCAGGAAGGCCTTAAGGAACGCACTTGGTTCGGAGTTCATAGCATGCATGACAATTTCCAGAGTCAGAACGTGGGCTTGGTACATTCCGAGGCATTTCGCTGGCATCGTAGTCGGCACCAAGCTACAACTCGTCAAAGAGACGAGTGAAGTCAATTCCTTGACCAACTTTCTGTCGAAATGATTGTGCTACCACTCTTTTTTCTATCCTGGCCCCTCTATGACAGCTTCTAACTTGTTTATATTCCGCAAGAAGTGTGCCATTTTGGCAAATTGACCGTGGCGTCATCAGACCTGCTATTTGCCTTGCCTCTCTCCCTTTCAAGTGGCTGATCCGACTCAGATCTCCAGTCCGGATCTGCCTCATGGACACGTAGATCCGTTTCTTATCTTTCTGGTTGGCTGATTTCACTCGGTTTCAGTCCCACTGTACTTTTTGCAAGGTGCGTTTCTCTAAGCCTTCCGGTCAATAAGACCAAATTGCGAAAATAATGTCAAATAAATACTAGACGTAGAAAGAAAACTGCGACCAAAATAGAGGCCACACATCTTGGTCTTCGTATACACGTCTATAATGCCTAAATCTGGTGTTTTTTATTGGAGACTCTTTAGACGTGGCTTCTGACTCCGATGATATCAGTGAAAAGATGATAAAGAAAAGCTATCGAAGTGGCTCTTCTAATAAGAAAATACGTCGAGCATAGTTATTAAAATAAAGAAAGGATGCCCTCTACTTTTGTCGTAGCCTCATTCCAATGCCTATAAGCTCATTTTTGCAAACTTCCTCTTGTTTTCAGAGCAAATTTGAAGAATGTTAAAGTTGCTATGATTTCTTCCAGCATCTAAGCATTTAAATCAGACCGTACATTCGCCAGCGTCGTTTAGGGGAGTGTCATTCTTAGCCCATAAATACATGTTAAAGGGACAGATTGGGCCACCCTTTGGCCAAATTTCTGACAGAAAAAATTAGGATAACCCTTGCAGAGGGTGTATTAAAGGATAGGGTCTTCAACATCCCTATTATAGCACGAGTGAGGTGCAAAAATGAGTACCGACAAACTCTGTACATTTTTGAGATTTTTTGCTCAAGTGATAAATCGAATAGTTAATATTTACTCCAAATAGCTTTTCCTAAGAATTGCTAGAAGAAATATTTATAAAAATGGATACCAATAAGGGAATTGTAGTCCTGTCGGTGATCAAGACAGTATTTGTCTATATGGCAAAGTTTGAGATGATAGATTAATTCGCAAAAAAGCAAGCTTACGAAAGTTGGGCTGAAGATGGAAACGAAAGTTCACAGCCGAAGTGTTCTCAGTATTCACAAAGTAGACATAATTCACGCTATCCGAGCCGAGCAGATTGTGCAGTCGAATCCGTCTTTTGTGAGTCGGCAACAATTCGGTAGCTGCTATAATCAAGGAATAATGTAGAGAAAAAAATGAAAAGATGAGACGCATCTGAAGGCAATAAAGCATAAGGCGTTCAAAATGGCAGAAAATACGTTATTCTGTCTATAAATGCTGTCAGCACGCAGTGTTTATCAAAAGAGGATTAAAAGTCCTAGATGCAAAGAAATTATCATTAGTATTTTAAGCGAAACAATGCCTTGGATTTAGCAAAATAAATGAGAAAAAAAATTTGTGCGGAATGGAATAAATGATAAAAAACTCTGACCTCTAACTCTGCAACTCTCAGCCGCTATGCAGAAATAAACAAGATGGAATCCCTACTTATGAGTCCGAATCGTTTAGGTCTGACCCAGCTTTTTTCGGCACATCTCCTCAGAGGTCTTAAGATGTTCGCTGACCACTGACTCTGAGAATCCCACCAATTTTGTCGTACCAAAACAGACCTTCAATAAAACATTGTGACATGACTTTTAATTTTGAAAGAAAAGTTGGTTGGAAGAAATTCGTGGATTAAATTATCAGTCTTTCGTTATCATATACTTCCTAGGATTACTAAGGCTATTAGTTTATTAATATTCTCGATAGATGTGGACTATACGTGCACTGCTATCATCGTTCTATATGATCTCCAATTCGTGCAACTACAAGGCATTGAAATGGATTCACAATATGCTTATTGTAAGTTCGTTGTACGCCCCATTTCAATATCATCTATTTTCTTTATATTTGCCTCAAATATGTCACCTCCTAAGGGTCAGCGACAGTCTGATAGTGACTTGCTTAAGAACAGAAAGAGATAGAACGCAAAAAAACGCTGAATAAGAGAAGAAGGACACATAATATTCAATACCACATAAGTAAAAAATTAAAGGATCATAGGTTTAATTATTTAGGCACAGAAACAGCTCTCACTATATTCCCTTCCTTTTCCCCCATCTACAAGAATGTATGTTAAGTATGAAATAACCAACCACTTTATGGAATGCTTTATTGAGATAGCAAAATTGGGTATAAGAGATAAGTGCAATTGCACTGAGCCAGTTCCTGCTACTTAGCCTATTGTACCACACGCTAAACTACCCAGGTTGGATTCCAATTAAGGGTGTTAATGAGACCAGCTCAGGCGAGGTCAAAGCTGTAATCCGCTCCAGCCTAAATGAGAATACTTTTTGGGAAGCAAGTTCAAGTGGAATGAAATGGCATTTTTCGGCATACTCATATCATTGTTGGAAATTTCAATCATCAGTCCTTCGTCACCTTATATTTACCGGGGTTATTAAATGACTTAGTTAATTACTATTCTTTATAAGTGAACTACAATTGCAATGCCATCTTCGCTGTACACTATCTACAATGCATGTAACTAGAAGACATTGGGATAAATGGGATTTCATCTATCGAATAAACAAAACAGAAGCCTAACATGTTGGGGAAACTTGCAGTTCATAAGAAAGTGCATGAAGAAGAGATTCTAAGGTAGATCTCACCAGAAGATGACGACTGAATTCCGCTGCACTGCAGCCATTTGGATTTAATGCGACGTTCAAGTTGATGAAGTTCACGAAAGCTCCTGCCTCTTTTCGGATAAAAACGACTCAACCTTTGTCCATAATTCGATCGACATCACAGAGCTGGAACTCACTCTTGCAAAAGTATCAAGTTAACAAAAACTAAGTCAATAAGACTGTCCGGTTCTATCTTACCTATATAAACTGATAGTTATAAAACTAAAATGTATAGGCATGGATAGACATAGAATGGTTCGACCTTGTTTTCGCAACTTAGTCGCAGCGTCAGGGAGACCTTGTGGGACGTAACTAGTCCTGGGTCCTCTGACATAGTATTCGTGATTTCCAGCTTCAGACGATTGAATTGATACATGTCCAA